ATGTCTGGACCTATGTCTCATCTCTGTGTTACTTGAATGCCTCCCACACCCTTTCATGGCAAGCCTCTTCCTCCGAATACTCTTCCTCATCATCTCCCTCACAAATGACCCTTTTGCGTAGGAAACTAGTGACATGAATTGACATTCTCCACACTCAAGAGCATGTAGTCTACTCTTTGAATTGCGTATCATAACCATATTTGGTAGCCGCCACCTTAGCCATCCTGTCGATGAAGGACTCCTCATCCTCTCGAGGGTGCAGAGTAGATACACTAACGAGGATGTCAACTGATGGTAGTTAGTGCAAGAGGATGATGCCTACTGGGATAGATTTAATTGAAGTGTGTTGATGACTAGAGATGTGGACACGACACCAGTAAAGCCTAGCTGATGGAGTAAGTCTGCCACGGTCTTCCAGACAGGCACCTACACATGAGGTACTAAGTAACTTCCACAGAGGTTCCTCCCCCCACCTTCGAGTTCCACCCACTGGCGATAACCCACTCCCACATAGTCTTCTGAATGTCGTACATTCTGGCCTCTGCAGTACCACTAGATAGGCCACCAAGGAAGACAGCTGTAGTGAGGTGACGTAGATATCTCTGATAGCATTGACCACATGTAATGGAACCATACTTGTCGTGTCCTACATGTCCCATCTCATGGACTAGGGGGGCGGCATCAGCCACGTCCTCAGCCTTGACTCCTCGCCGCATGGTGGGTTTCATATTGCGAAAGCAATCCCCCAGCTCAGTGAATACATCCAATAGGAATTTATCGGACTATATCGCGAAAGCATCAGACCTACTGCAATGAGCTCTATGGTGCTACCTCAGCAGGAGCAGCAGCAGCCGCACCACCACCACTACTGGATGGGCGGCCTTGGAGACGAACGCTAAGAAGAGTGTATATGGCGAGGGAGAAGGCTGAGCATATGTCGCCTTGGGCTTCAATAGGAAGACCAAAGGGTAGGCGGTCAACCTGTAACATAAGTCCAGCAGTGATCAGTATAACAGCAAACACCACCAAAGATTGTATGAGCTCTACAGCCGGGTCCTGTAGAGGTAGGAGATACTCAGATGGAAGCCTGAGATCCAGTATAGCTCTCAGAGGGCCATTGAGAGCCTTTAGGCTGTTATTGACAACCTCCACCTGACGCCTCACGTCAGCTTCTGAGAA